TGGGTTATAATATTTTCAAGGGGCTTTGAACCGATGTAGGGATATTATAACCTAATCCCTTAGATCTCGGGAGAGACTAGGATAGGATTTCAATGACTAAAAAGGGTGTCTTTATCAATAGGGTAGGCTGGCCAACATCATTGAGTGACAGAAGATGCCTTGGCATCCTATTCTGTTAGGTTCCTTTGAGAACATTTTAGGAAAGCCTTGCCGAGCAAGTAAGGATTAGATAGCTTAAATATGCATGAGAAATAAGTTTAGCATCCTTAAATCAATCCCTATCATTAATTTCATTGGAAGCTTGTCACGTGAGGATTATCTTCTTTTAATTTTATTTGATGTTTATTTACTCTTTATTTACCATCTTCCATTGCCTCGACATTACACCATTTTCAACACTAAACATCTTATCTTGCCACTACATTTCCATCTGTTACATCATCAGATCATTCATCTACATCCATCAGCATACACATTTTCATTTACCGTGACATTTGTATATATAAAGACTAACTATATTTAGATACATTACTGCTTAGCTTTGGTTAGACTTTTATAATTTCACCCAATCCATGTGGAGACGATACTCACTCATCATTGTATTACTTGAGCGATTGTGTATACTTGCACATTATTTGCGTATATTTTATAGTACTCACACACGCGGACAGATGGTATGTTTCAAGTGTTGGAGAAAGTGAACGGAAACACTTACAAGTTGGATTTATCATGTGAATTCAATATAAGTGCTACATTTAATGTTTCTGATTTATCCCCTTATGATGTATCTGCATACTTGAGGTTAAAACTTTTTCAAGAATGGGGGATGATGTGAGCACATCTATGCCAGCAAAGGATGTTGATCCGGAGATCTTACCAACAAGACATATTACTCGTTCTATGGCAAAGCATTTCAGGGAAGTTCTTTCTCTTAAGTGCTTACAAGTTTCTGAATCATTCCATAATTATTATGCCTTAGAAACTAAGCTTTTCAATGTGTTACATACTGATGTGTTACATATTGATGTGTAATATCACCTTAGTTATACTAAGTATTTATACGAATTTGTATTAGTTTTATTAAATATATAAGTATGTGCATTATATATACTAATTACTTTATGTTTTTAATAAGTTTTATAGCTCATAAGTGTGTTTACATGCCATTTTCAGCTTATTAATAAGTTTACAATAAGTTTGCCATACTTTGATAGATGTTTTTGTGTTTTCCATATAGGAACAATAAAGGGAATTAACTCACTACACTTTCAGCTAGCTGAATTCAACTCACCTTAGCTCTGTTTAGCTCAACTTCAGCTCCACTAGCTCAACTCAAGGTGACAAGTCCATAATCATCTTAAAGATGTCCTACGTGTGAGAGAGTGTCATACAAGAATGTGAGTAGTATGTGGGGTGTTATACACCTATCCAAGAGTGCACGACATGTGTGAAATTGTGCACAAGTGTGGAAATTCAACAATGGGCATATTTGAATTCAAACTAAAGGAACATGTGAAATTGTTTGAATTTTCAACTACTCCCTCCATGCATGGCCGGTTATAATTCCTTATCCACTCATTTAGCACATGCAAAATGTTTTAAAATCATGCAATTTCAGCCACAAAAATGGGCGGCATCACAAGGGAAGTTATATGGTAGTTTTTCACTTGAGATTTAAATTCAAACTTTAATTATTTGTATCCACAAATGATGGATAACCATATCTCTTCTTTTCTCTATATATTTTGTAACTTTGTAAGTACAATGGTTAGACATTTTATGAATAAAAATTATTGTGAGGTTTTTCTCTCAATGTTGGTTCTTCTTAAAACTATTTCTTGACATTTCAAGGTTGTCCTTGTTGTGTCAAACTTGTGATACTTCGGGTTCTTATATTGCTATCTAACGGGTCCAAGTACTTTGAACATTTATCGTATAAGGTTTGGGTTTATTCTTTTTAGTATAGGTTATTCCTTGTTCTTTGTTTATTAACCAAAACTTTCAGATTTCTTCTTTTCCACTATTGTCACTTCACCAAGTATATATCTTCACTCTTACACCATTCTAAAATTTCCAACAACCTAATTTCTTCTTTTCTTCATCCTTTCTTCATCCCTTATTAACCATTTTCGTCCATAACCTTAACCATAAAACCAACAACATCATCCTTTGTTTTAGTAAACTTTCTGCAAGGGAATTGCTTACTTCGTTCTAGATCCATTATAATCGAATGGGGTCTTTTTCAACAGGCTGCTTCATATCACTTTTGGTAACTTATATGTTTAATATTGTTTTTATTAATATATTTAATATTGAGTATTATGAGACATCAAGCATATTTTCTAATTTATTTATTTATTTATTTTTTAAGATAACATTTTGTATGAGGAATTTAGGGGAATATGTCTTAACTGACAAGGAGTGTGTTTCGAGAATTGTTCGTATAAAATAATGGTTTTTTACATTCTATCTAAAACACCAAGCAATATCATTTTGTGAGGATAATTCATGGAAATGCGCCTTAACTGACAAGGAACGTGTTTCTGAAGATTGTTCATACAAATTAGTATCTTTTTTTATTCGAATAATTTCTAAATATATTAAATATATACATTTTATTTCCTTTAAAAATAAATTAAATCAATATTATTTTGTATGAGAAATTTATGTAAACACGTCTTAACTAACAAGGATGATGTTTTCAAGAATTATCCATGCGAAATGATTTTTATTTTATTTTATTTACTTTATTTTTTATTAAATATATATCATTTAGGAAAAACATGGTAATGATCTTCTGTATGGAGAATCCATAAAAATGCGCCTTAACTGACAAGGAGTGTGTTTTTTATGATTGTCCGTGCGAAATAATACTCTTTTCGATTTTTTTATTCTAATAGGATCATAATTTAAATGTATATTCGAATTTTCAAATTTCAATATTTACATGACATATAATCGCTTGTGTACCGATTTTGAGCGCAGTGAAGGAGCTTATCCTTCTCCACGTGTAATCGACTCCCTAACCCTTTTCAAAATGAGTTTCTGGTTAAACGCATATCACTTTTTATCTTTTAAAATTATTTTTCTTAAAATTATTTTAAAGGATATTTTTAGGTTTTCGACCTACCTAATCTAAAGATCGATGGGAACTCTAAATTTATTTATCTATTTAAAAAAAAATCAATCTTTTCCAAAATTAAGTTGGATCGCTCCTCGCCATAAGCCTAAAAAGTTTAAAGACTGTTTCAACACTTATAATCTTGAACAAGAGAATGTCAATGTTATTTAACTACCAAGAATGTAGTTATATTTGAAGGAGTAAGTTTCTAACGAAAATTATTTTGAAGAGTTTTTGCAGTAGCAAAGTATTTCACTTGATCTGATTTAAAGATAAAAATTTACAATTGACTCAATCCAATATATAACTTAATTTAAAAATAACAATAATTTATTTAGTGATAATATTGTAATTATCTCTAAGTATGGGTGTTCAAATTAATCTATTACTGTTAACCATAACCATTAACCTATTTACCCGCTACATTTTATAGGTTAATTAACCAAACCGTTAGGGTTTAACGGTTTCAGTTAACTGAACCGCTTAAAATACCAGTTAACGGTTATCATTACATTTATTGAATTTTTATAAATGGTTAATCATTGGTTAACCGTTAATAAATTATAATTAATTAATTATATTTATTAGAGAATAGAATTAGAAATAAAATTAAAATGATTCCTCCTATTTTTAATTATCATGTTTATCTTATATATGAGCACATTAAATCGAACATATATGAAGAAATACATGATTTTAAATTATAGAATATAAATATACATTTAAGATTTTAAACTGAAAAAAAATGAATATACCTCATAATATATATATTTCTATAAAATAAAATATATTTACAATTAAATAAGTTTTTTTACAAATATATATGTTTCTGTGGTCTTAAATTTATGAAATTTTAAAAAATTTAAGTTGTGTTATGTTTGAAAAATATTATAATAGATTAATAATAAGTTACTCTATAATTAAACCGCTAATAAGAGTTAGTCGACTATTTAAACTTAACGGTGTAGTTAACCAACTATGAATACCCTTATCTCTAAATATATAATCCATAATTATAATATTATCTCGGGGAGGAATTTTTCTTAAATCCCATTTTAATTTAATCCCACGTTATCCTTTCAGAAACCCCTTGGAAATTTAATTTTTTTTTAAAAATTAAATCAAATCAAAATCAATCAAGTTCGATCAACTTCTGTAGAGATGTATGCAGGGACAAAACCATGATTGAATTATGATAGGGGCAAGTTTTTCATTTTAATAGGGTCTGAAAAGTAATTAAACCATAAAATTAAGAGACTAAGAGTTTAATTTCATTATAAAATTCAAAAATCTTAAAAATAATTAAATCAGACATATTTAGGGTCAAAGTTTAATTCCATTAATTTTAAAATTGATATTTTTCTAAAAATTAATTATACTTAAAAAATTTAGGAGGGACAAGAGCTTAATTGCAATGATTTTAAAATTATCAGTGACTTAAAAAGTAATTATACCATGAAAGTTGGGGGTCATTGTCTCTCCTCCTATAACGACCCGTTTGTTATTAAATGATTGAGAATCTTCATAATAAATAATATCTTTTATTCATCTCAGAGTAATAAAAAATATAACTCTACTAAAATTTAATGGTTCTGCCTAAAATTATAACATGTCCTATCTAATTATGTCTATTTATACCTGCATATTTATTTATTTATAATTTGATCAGCATGTTCTAAGACTACATTTAAAGTTTAATTAGTGCAATAGATATGCTTTAAGGATTTAATTGGAACATTTCAAAATGTAGAATTAAACTTAAAATCGGAATTATAGTTTGAGACATTTGATACAATTAATCCGAAATTTAAATGATATTAAAAACAGGAGAGGAGGGCGAATTGCATTTTGGAGAAGAAAAAAAAAGAACGAAAAAGATATTCACTGAACACGATGCATACTGTGTTCCCAGGTGACGATTTCTCAGACTCCTTTTGGGCGGCCCCGGCGGGGATGAACCGAAGCCAATCGGAGTGGGCTTTGGATATCTTTCTTGAAGAGTTTTCCGGTACCGGCGGGGCGATCCCCGTGTCGCGTTCGAGTGAGAGTGCGATTGGTCCCTCCGTGGCGGAACCTCAGATGCCTGTTTCGAAATCTGAAGAAGGCGATGCTGATGACTACTACGTGGTGGAGATCAAAAGACCTGGTAATCAGAACCATAACTCTCCGCCGCCCGCTCTGAAACTTACTGTCCCGATTGACTCGGACGAGGTCCAGGCGATCCTCAAGAGCAAGCTCGAGCAAGCCTGCGCTGTTTTTGCTCTCTCGTGTATTACCCTTTCTCCAATCCCGATTTTCCAATTGGATTTATTATTATATAATATTATGTAAAAATAAGTATGTATATTTTTTTTTTCTATTGAGAAATAAATTTATCCAGGCGTCAGCTGTGAAGGCAGAAGATTCGTCTGCCCAACCTGAAGATCAATCGCTTCAATCGAGATCCCAAGTTCAAGGTAAGCTTTTGCTTTGCATGCTTTTGATTTGACTTTTTTTTCTCTATTGTAATGAGTTGAGTCCTTTTTAGACTATTTTAGACTAGGGATGAAGAAACGTTTACGTTTCTCTGTTGTATTTGAACGGAACTCCTGTGTTATAAGCATATGAATCACGCCACCCTATAAATAAATTTTAGTTATTTTCTTCTGTCTCAGATTTTATGGAGCCAATTTAGAGTTAGTTCAAAGGGGGTAAGTATATTCCTGAGCAGGAGTTAGCTTGTAAGGAAAAGCTATGATTTGTGTAAAATTTTGCTAATTTCAGTGTTAGGGTACTCGTATTCAGGGATGGATCAAAGGGGAGCACGTGGGCGGCCGTCCCTTAAAAATTTTAAATTATTATATATTTTAGATTTTTTTATATTTTCTATTGATAATATATTTTTGACTTTTTAGAATTTTATAAGTTCGTCTCCCTTTATATTTTAGAAGTATATCCCCTATCATAAAATTTTGTATCTATCCCTACTTGTATTTTCGCTAATTGATGGAGCGTAATTGGGAATATCACCAGTCATATACAGGGTGAGAAGCAATTTTGTGCTCATAAGTATGATTCAATGGAATAGGAGGCTGCAACCTTTGATCAAGTTTAAATCAATGTGGTTAATCAAGTTTCTGATTTGTAGATTGGGTTCTTCAAGTTAACTACGTCAGCGATTCATTGGCTTCTTGGTGAACTGTAGGAAAACGTTGCTTTTCATTTAGTTTTTGCTGGAGCTATTCTTTATATATCATGCATGATTGTTCCTAAAAAACAGTAAATTAGTGATAGCCATATTTTAACTTTTTATAAAGTGCAATGTGACTTGATCTTCGATTCATGCTTGTGCTGAAGGAGTGGAGGAAAGGAAAATGATTGAAAAAAATGGAGGGGTACATAAAAATGGAATTAATTTGCTTTAATAGATTGATTAACTCTACATAGCCATTCAAACAAGAAATGGAACATTAGCCTGTTTATATTTCATTTTTCTTCTCTATTTTTCTTATTTTTATTCCCATTTTCTAATACTTAAGTGCTACAAGATACGCTAAAGAACCTGGGGCAATCCATGCATTAATTTGGTTCTCCTCTTTCCATGACTAGTTTACATATGGTAATATCTTGCTGATACAAATTCTACCATTGAAGTTTCCTCAAAGGCTCAAGGACAGGGTGAACAAGATGCTACACCTTGTGGAATATTGGCTGTGTCGACTACACAGAAAAAAACAGGGGTGCAAAGGAGGCAAACAACAAGCTTGTCATCAGGAGAAGATTCAGATGATGATGAACTTCAAGATACTGAAACCACTGACAACATGGATCCGGCTGATGCAAAACGTGCAAGGAGGTAATCATGTTTTCTATTTTTTGTCTTGTATTACTGGTTGTCTTGAGGATTTGCAATGCTATATTTCTCTTCTTTATTCTCTATTTCTTAACATGTCTGATTTCCTTTTCTTCTTATCTTTTTCTTTTCCCTAGTTAGAAGGATTTCTTTTAAGTAACAACTGTAAGACCAATTTGTTATCTTCAAAGGACTCAAATACTTACTCTGCAAATAGAACTCAAATTTATGATTCTATACCACTTAATTGAACAAAATTCTATTATCTGCTTCTAGAATTAATCAAAACACAAACGTTCTAAGCAGTAATTACCTATCTCACTGCTATATTTTTGAACTAAACACAATCTTCAATTTGTTGATTCAATGACAAAAATTGCCCTGAATTAATTGGTATGGATTGATCAGAATGCGGTCAAACCGAGAATCAGCTAGACGCTCTAGAAGAAGAAAGCAAGCGCATATGAATGAACTTGAAGCACAGGTTTTGCCACATCATTCTCCCTACCCTCTAATGGTCTGGTACATTTTGTTTTATAGTCTTTTTGATCCTGCAAGTGATTTTTTTTCTAGGTTGGTCAACTAAGAGTTGAACATTCCACGTTACTCAAGACTCTAAGTGACACGAATCACAAGTATGATGAAGCTGCTGTCGACAATAGAATTCTGAAGGCTGATATAGAGACATTAAGAGCAAAGGTAAACCGTCACCCTCAATTTCGTCACCATCACTATTGCCTAATTAGGATTTCCTCATTGTGGTCCAATTATTCTTCATTTATTTGACTTATGTGTCCTGTGGGAAGTTGAAAATTTGCTTCCACATAAATGAAAGCAGACTGTTATTGTGACATCATGAAGTTTGTGAAAATTAGTCAGTCAAACTCTGAAAAGCCATGCTCATATTCATTTTCCTTCTTCATCTAGGATATAATCGTAAATGAGCTTGCAGATTATAGTAGCTGCAATTCTCTCGAGGAAGAGAGATTAATTCCGTTTTGGTGATTTTTATGTGCTTCAGGGATCTGCTGGACTTGTCCATATGACACACTATTCGTTATTGCACTGATATTTATATAATGGATATGGCATGATCTCTTGTGTTTGTTAATGCACTGGAGTTATATCAATTTTTGGACTGTTCCGAACCGTGAAACACGGTCTTAATTCACTATTGATCCTGGTTGATGCAATATTAAATCAGTGTCTATCGGGTTGACGGTTGTATTTGAAATTTTCAGGTAAAAATGGCTGAAGAAACAGTTAAGCGGGTGACAGGGATTAACCCTGCTATGCTCTCTGGACACGCTGTAGCTAATGTCGGCATGCCTTTTGTTAGCAGACCATTGGAAGCATCCCCGGTTGCTCCTGTTCGGTTGCAGCAAAACAGCAATCAGTGTTTTCACCAATCAGTTCCGGACATTGCTGGCCCCATCCACCATCAGAGAGTGGAAAACAGTTTCGCAGGCAACACCCTGGTTCCTCCTTCCGTGAATTTACATACTGAAGAAGCAGGAGTGAAGAGTGTAAATGAAACATCTGCATTGCGTCATACGCCCAGCTCAGAGCATGTTCATGATCCGATTGGCTGTGGTGTCAGTCCAAGTGGACTCATGTCTGGCTGGGAGCCCCGACAACATATAGCTGCCAAGAACAAGAAGCAATCGGTGCCGTAACCATCGTGTTTTCTGAGATGAGGCTCGAGAGAAGCGTATATGATGGTATTAATATTAGTTAAAAATCTAGTAATGGGTATGCACTCTAACTGCACGTTCATATTTAACATCTTGACATCGTAACATCGACTCAACTTCTTAGTCCATTCAGTGTACTTTATTCAGTAAATTATCATGTATGAAATCATATGAAGTTTATATCTGGTGTCAAGGTACTCCAGTTAAGCCATCGGATTTTATCGGTCGTACGAGCATGTTTTAGCCTCGGAAGTTCGAGGTTTTGAAACCATGTAAACTGACCTTACGATAGCATATTTTCGGAGAATGTTGGATGTTGTGAAGCTCCGATGCTATCTCTCATGGAATGTCTTGTTGAGCCGGTTTAATGGTACGTTAATGGACTGATATAACAAGCTCGAACTATAATACAGAGATCTGTACTTTATTTTTACTCGATTTCATTTGATCGTAAAATTGCCAAGATTGGTTCAGTCAGCTGGTTGGAAACCATTTTTAGATTTCATAATTAATGACTCAACCAATTCAGATGCATATATCATTGTGCATATAGCTAAGAACATAAATGATTCAAGAAATCAAATAACATAAATCTGGGACTGCAATCAGCTTTATTAAACCCAAAATCATGAGCTAACGCAAAAAGGTGTGGACCAGATGATGAGCTCAAGGAAATGATATCATAGTTGGTTAGAGATGGACCGAAGGGGCGGGTGGTTGCCCCTGAAATTTTTAAATTTTTTTATATTTTATATTTTTTTGTTCGACTCCTCTATATTTTTATAAATTCGCCTCTAATATAAAATTTTGTGTCGTCTCCATAGCTGGTATTTATTATACCAAAAAGATACTGTAGGTGCAGTCTGCTGCTACAGTAAGTACTTCTTTATGCAAATACACATATAATGGACATCAGTGTCCACCAAATATAACAAGAAAATTATTCACCCTATGGTTTAGGCTCAAATTTGGACTACCTCATTATTTTGACAGATGAAATTCTAAAGCATATTAGATTAACTATGGTTTAAAGGTGCATGAAGAATTTAAACTTTTTGGAAAAAAAAAGTAAATCTTTAGAATGTTTTTGTATTCAGTTGAATCTTCAAACCGAGAAATTAAGTTAACAGAAAATTAAATCATAATTTTTTTTATAATTTTACTATCACATGACATAATACAATTCTATCATATGGAATTTTAGGATTTTTTTAAAAGAGAAACTTTAAAGAAAGTTATTAAATAATAAAATTTTATTAAATTTTGTAAATTTCTATAAATATCACTTGATAATATTGGAATACGACATATGACACAAACTAATTAAAAAAAACTATTATATCTAATGGTCAATACTGATCAAAGAGGTGAATTGATAAAAAAAAATTCGAACTACGAGTTTAATTGAATGGAAAAAAAACTAAAGTATTAATTATTATTTTTCTTTAAAATTTTGAGGGCTTCATACACCCTTAATGTAACGTCCTTGATTTTTTAAATCATTGTTTTTTAGTTTTAAAGATCGAAAAATCATTTAATCATTATTTTATTAAATTTAAGTATCAAAATTTAGTATGAACCAAGATATTTCAGTGGTTAAAGGGATGATCATTATCCTAGAGATCTTGAGTTTCGAGCACCAGAGATTGTAAGTGTGTTTGAACTTTCACTGTCAAATAGTTAAAAAAATTTAGAATAGATACTATCTTGTAATCATCTTAGATTAATAAAAAAAAGTAACACACTATTCATTTTGGTTTGCTTGATTAAACGAAAATCCAATTGGAAACTTTTATTGATAATCACAAAATAAAATGAAAATAGAAAGATAAAATTAAAAAAAAAAGTGAATTGTGAAATTTTGCATGGTAAATAGACCTTGGACAATTGTTAGTGGATTTTGGTGAGAATGTGTCATATTAAGTATGACTTTATATAGAAAAAAATTGATATACAATATGTGTTATAAGTAAAAATATATGTGTATTATTATAATGGCAAATTAGAAAGCATGGTATATTATATTGTGGAATTATTGGAGATTAAAACCAACTATTTTCCTTGTTTTGGGTTATCTTCAAACTTCCAAAAACACCATTAAAGCATTTTCAAGTCTTAGAGTGAGAAAGCTTTGACATTGAGTGAAATTTAATGTGCATGTTAGGCCTAGTTAAAGATTTGAGATGCTCTTTCAGTCTAAAGGGTTCAAATTTCATTAAGGAAAAGTAAACCCTAAACTCAAAATATTAATATCTAATATTAGTTTTAGTGTAAACTATACAAATGATAATTGATGTTTGAGTAAGTTTTCATTTCTTTACTGAAGTTTCAAAAGTAACAAATTGGTTACTAACGTTATCAATTCGTAACAAAATAATCATTCCATCGCCATTCCATTAAATTGATGATGTGACAACGTTAATATTTAGTTTTACCCCTAAACTACTGATAAAACATCAAATATCAAATAGGTTTGTGGATAATAATTTTATATCTAATTTACCCCGAAAGTTTTCTAATTTTCAATTTTACATCAAATAGGTCCTATGTCTTTGGATCATGAACCCATGGAAGAAAGCCCTTTCACCCCATGGAAGAAGCCTTCGTCCTATGACAAATGCCTCCGCATAGAGCATCGAGAATTTCGCAAAGAAGCCTTCGTCCTATGGCGGATGCCTCCTCAAAAAGTATTGAGAACTTTTACGCAGAGATATCTCTGCGTCATGATCCTTCCACTAAGGATATAAAACAACCTTGACCTCCTTTAAGCAAGAAAACAATGTCAATCATATCAATATACTGCTAAGAGCGTTGATAACCTTTTGTGGGGTGTATATGGGGGTGCATAGATAATTCCATTTGCATTTAACTTCGACATTATCTTCTGACCATGTGACTTTATCGTTACTACCATCGTCTGGCCGAAGGAATCGAGACGTCTTCGTTATTCTTTGCGTAATCCTCTGCGTAAGATGTTATTCTTTGCGAAGAACGTCACTCTATACAAGAGCCTCTATCCTCCAAGCTTATCCTTACTTGTCAATAAAATGGCCATGGACATCAACGAACACACATCTCATTCAAGCTACTTTGTGACGTTCCCTCAATTAAGGAGACAACTTATTATACCTTTAGAGGTCACCTCCAGAAATTACCAGCTTTCTGCCTACTAAAACTTCCGGATAAACTCATTCACTCATCGGAGCACCCAAACAATCCATGTCCTCTGAGCTAAGGAGCATTATAGCCTTTGAATAAGCTACAATATATAGATAAAACCTCTAATCACGAGATCTATCAGAGCAAAATTCAATATTTGACAATGTATTTATCTAGCCTCCTAATTTATGAATAACCATAATAATTCTATGCTTAACGCCACCAACTAGTGCCTTTACAAATATCCCTAAATGGGAGGGGATCCTCTCTGCTTTCTTCTTCTAAACTCATATCTACCCTGCTATGCCTCCAATTCTCTCATAGATGTGAGAAACACCAGCTAACAGTTGACAAATTAATTTCTCTCATCATCATAAATATTTTTAAAATAAAAATTACTATGAATGTGATATATTTAATTCGATTCAATTTAAATTTTAATCTAAAAGTTATAGATTTTTATAAGGAATTTTTTTTGAAAGTTTTCTTACACTTTTGAAAAATGTAAAACAATTTACATAAAAAATTACCTTATCTTTTTTAATTTGTAAATCATTTTTATTGATTAAATTAATTTTTATGAAATAAATACTAGAAAATATATTTAAAACATTTTTCATAAATTATTTTCAAATAAATAAATAAACCCCATTTGCCCCACCTTCGTTCCATCTCTATTTGATGGAGTATGTTACCTAGAGATAGACCGAGAGAGTGGTAGTCTCCTTAAAATTTTAAATTTTTATATGTTTTAGATAGTTTCTTTGTATTTTCAATTAAATTTTTTTTGCTTAAAATTTTATAAGTACACCTTCTTAACATAAAATCATGCGTCCGTCCCTAATATGAATGAGTGATTATCATTCCTATTTTATCATATTTGTATTGTAATTTCTTTTATTTCTGTATTTTTCATGTTATAAATATAATTGATCCAATATGAATTTTCTAAAATAATTATATATATATATATATATATATATAATATTTTAAAATTATTATAAGTTTTAATTATTTAATTAATAAAAAATTAAAGAGGCCTGAATATGGTTGTTTCTGTGCCTCGTACTGACGTAGTGTGTTGGAAATTGCAGCCTTTTGATTATTTCATTAAAAACTGTGGAACAAATCATTACGTTGGTGAAATTCATCACTCTTATTTTCATAATTTCTCGAAATTCGTCTCCATATAATTATATTAATAAATAGTATAAGGAGGCGTTAACAGTTATGCCAAAGCTCTTGACATTATTTATATATGTAAAACTATATCAGATACCATTAAACGATACAACATCTAAAGTTTATATCATTAAACTTTTAATTTTATTAATTATAACATTAAACTTTGATTTTCGTTTCAATTATATCATTGGATCGTAAAATCGTTAACAACCATATCAAAACGATGTCATTTTTGTGAGTTGTCTACGCTGACAACCGTCAACCACATCGGTAGTCGTCAACTACATCATTATATCGTTAATGATTTAGCGATTCAGTGGTATACTTGAAACGAAAATCAAAGTTTAATGGTATAAATAATACAATGTCTAAAGTTTAATGGTATCTGGTGCAGTTTACATTTTATTTATTTATTTATTTACATTTATATTTGTGAAAGATACCTCACACAACTCTACCCTTATAAGCATCGCCATCTGACCTTTTCTTTTTTCTGACCTTAATAATTAATTTTAAAAATAAAAAAAATTGGGGTCATTTTACTAACTTGTGGCTCAATCTGATTTTATCAATATTTGTAATCTTTAAATAAGTTTTCTTTAGTTAAGTTCAAAGATGATTCGTGTCGGATTTTTTTCCCTAAATACAAAATATTGTTTTCTTACTTACAATATTTAAACTTAAAGGCATTGTTCAACAAATATTAAACTTTTTATCAGAGACTGAGCCGAAACTTAATCTTAACAGAGGCCGGATCTTTTTAACGGTTTTAAATTTTATTCATAATTTTATTTTTATTATTTATTTTTTAAAAAAAATATAAATGATAATATTAAAT